CCAGTAGCCCCTGAGTTTTGTTTTTACTTATTTGAGTCTTCCTTTTTTCTCAGACTAGCTCAAGGTTTGTCAGTTTTTTCTTCTTTCTGAAATACCAGGTCTTAGTTTTGATAATTTTTTTCTATTTTTTCTCTGATCTCTATTTAATGTACTTTGTTTGGATATTGTTTCTCTCTTTCTGCTAATGTTGGGCTGGTTTATTGTTTTTCTGGTTCTTGTGATACAAAGTTAGGTTATTTCTTTAAGATCTTAATTTTTCCTAGAATGCCTGGGTGGCTCAGTCGGTTAAGTACTTGATTCTTGATTTAGGCTCGGGACATGCTCTCACAGTTGGTGAGTTCAGATACTCCACTGGGCTGCACACTGACATCATGGAGTCAGCTTGGGATTCTCTCTCTCTTTTCCCCTACCCTGCGCATGCTCTGTCTCAAAGTAAAGAAATACATTTTTTAAAAAAATCTTCATTTTTGGGGGTTGCCTGGCTGGCTCAGTCAGCATCCGACTTTGGCTTAGGTCATGATCTCACAGTTTGTGGGTTCAAGCCCTGTATTGGGCTCTGTGCTGACAGCTCAGAGCCTGGAGCCTGCTTCAGATTCTGTGTCTCTCTCTCTGCTTCTCCCCCACTTATGCTCTGTCTCTCTCAAAAATAAACATTAAAAAAATGTTTTTTAATGTTCATTTTTTCTTAATATAGAAATTATCTGTATAAACATTATCCATGTAAACTTCCCTTTTGGAATTGCTTCTGCAGCATCCCGTAATTTAGGTGTGTTGTATTTCATTTTCATCAGTTTCAAGATACTTTTTTAATGTCCTTTCAATTTCTTGTTGGACCCTTTGTTGTTGAAGGGTGTGTTGTTTAATTTTCACATATATGTAGATTTTCTCGTTTCTTCTTGTTGATTTCCACTTTTGTAACTTTGTCAGTAAAGATAGTTGGTATGATTTCAGTCTTCTAGATTTGGTAACACTTGTTTGTGATTGTGTGATGATATGATCCATCCTTGAGAATGATATGCATGCACTTGAGAAGAATGTGTATTCTGTTATTATCAAATGCAATGTCTTACGTATATCTGTTAGGTCCATTTGGTTAAACATATTGTTTTATTGTTGACTTTCTGTTAGGATGATCTATTCATTCTTAAAAAGTGTGTATTAAAATCCACTTTTATTATTGTATTGTTTCTTTCTCCCTGCAGATCTGATTCTATTTGCTTAATGTATTAGGTGCTTTGATGTTGAGTGTGTATATTTTTTCAGTTGTTACGTGTCCTTGAAGAATTGGTACCTTTATCTTTGTATAATGACCCTTGTTTCATGTAACTGTTTTTTACTTAGTCTATCCTTTTCTTATTTTTTTCTGATATAGCCACCCTTGTCTTCGTTTGGTTTCCACTTGTATGGAATACCTGTTTCCATCCCTTTTCTTTGAGCCTATGTGTGTTCTTAACGCTGAAGTGAGTCTCTTGCAGGTTGGGTTTTGCTTTTTTTTTTTACCCATCAAGATACTCTTTGCCTTTTGGTTAGAAAATTTAATCCACTTACATTTACAGTAATTATCAACACCTAAGGACTTAACCAGCACCATCTGTTTAATAGCTTTCTGGCTGTTTTGTAGCTGCCTTTTTCCTTTTTGAGTCTCTCACTGCATTCCTTTGTCAGTTGGTGATTTGTCACCGTTGTATGCTCTGATTCCTTCGTCTTTAACTTTTGTGAATCCACTGTAATTTTTGTTTTGTGGTTACTATGAGACTTACATAAAACATCTTATAGATCTAATCTCTTTTACACCGACAACAGCTTAACCTCAATCTCATATAAAATCTCTACCCTTTTACTCTCCTTCTTTTATGCTTCTTAGTGATAAATTAGTGATAATTTATCACTTTTCAGTGAGAATTTAGTGATACTCTTTTTATATTGTGTATTCATTAACAAATTGTAATAGTAATACTTATTTTTGATATTCTTGTTCTAACCTTTATACTAAAGTGGATAACACACCATCATATTATAGTGTTAGAGTTTTCTGAATTTGACTGTATGTCTGCCATTATCAGTGTGTTTTATATTTTCATGTGGTTTTTTAAAAATTTTTTGTTCTTAAATATTTATTTTTGAGAGAGAGCAAGTGGGGGAGGGGCAAAGAGAGAGGGAGACAGAGAATCTAAAGCAGGTTCTGCAAGGTCAGTGGGACCCAAACTCACAAATTGTGAGATCATAACCTGAGCCAAAATCAAGAATCGGACATTTACCTGACTGAGCCACCCAGGCAACCCTATTTTTTCTTATGGTTTTATGTTACTAGTTGGTTTCCCTTCGTTTCAGCTTAAAGAACTTCTTTCAGCACATTTTGTTAGGCAAGAAGAGTGGTGATGAATTAATTTAGTTTGTTTGGGAAGTATTTTCCTTCATTCTTGAAATTTCATGTCTTTGGGCTGGGTTATTGGAAGGTGATTGTGATCTTTTGGGTATGTCATGTTTCCTTGATTGCTCATGAACCTGGTGGAGTCCAGAACACATCAGTGGGAACTATATCCCTTTTATACCCTCTGAGAATCTTATACACTACAGCTCTTATTTGCCTCTTCTCCCCATTCATGGAACCTTCTAAGTAATGCTCTGGATGCCATGAGAGAAAAATTAGTCTCTCCAGCAGAGTCCTGCACAAATTTGAAAACTGGGCATTCATTCAAGGGCTCTCCCCTTTCTGTGGGAGAAAACACAAGCCATCTACTTAGCCCTGTGCTGTACCACTTTAGGGAAGGGCTGATGCTGATAAAGACCAGGTCTTACCCAATCTAATGCATACAAACTCTTTTTTTGTTTGTTTGTTTTTGTTTTGCCTCTAATGGACTTTGGAACTTGTCCTCTGGAAATCAGGACCTCCCCAAAGGCTTTGTGATCTGAAAGTGACTGCTCAACTGTTCCGCATACACTCCCAGATCTCAGCCGGAGAGGGGCAGGAACCTAGTCACTGTCTCGTGTAAGTTCTACGGGCAGTACTGGTATCTGATAGACTGGTGGGCTGAACCTGCCATGGGCCCCGCGGTGCAGGGCACTGGGTTCCACAATGCACGCAGAAGCACTTCTGTCGGTGGATGGATTTTTATTGTTGCAGGACAAAAACGAGGCGTGCCTAATGCTGCAGTGATGCAGACCTCACCCTAGTTTCGATTTTTACTGTTTATCAATTTTTTCCAGAATGTACACAAGAGGTTTCTGGATCAGAGATTTATTACTGATCAGACAGACTGTAGCCGGCGAGCGGTTCGTGTGTCTCAGGGCTTCCCTGGGGACCACAGTGCAGCCAGCTCAGCTGTTCTCCACACAGACTCTGTGTAGCCTAGGCAGATATTGAAAAAAAGTCACTTTTGGGGTGCCCGGGGGGCTCAGTGGGTTAAGCGGTCCACTTGGGCTCAAGTCATGATCTCAAGGTCCAGGAGTTCGGACCCCGCGTTGGGCTCTGTGCTGACAGCTCAGAGCCTGAAGTCTGCTTTGGATTCTGTGTCTCCCTCTCTCGGCCCCTCCCCTGCTTTGTTCTTTCTATCTCTCAAAACTGAATAAACGCTTAAAAATTTTTTTAAATTATTTTTCTCTGCTTTTTATAAATGGAAAAGAGGAAACATTCTTCCCTTCTCCTTCTGAGAGAGGTTCATTGCAAATACCAAAGTCTTTGGCATGTAAATAAATCTCTCTCTGAAAAGATAGGCCTGTCCGTCATCAGTCATCAGTCTTACTACTCAGAAGTACAGACATACCCCGAAAATGTGAACACATACCTCCAGGATTGAGGAAACCTCTCCGGAGTCCCCCCAATGTATTCAATTGTAACTTAATTCCTGAGGTTTACTTTTAGTCCAGAACCTCAAATTTCAGTAAAATTTCCCCTGAAAGCCCTAACGGTGTAGTAACACAAAAACATCTTCTCTGTAGCCCCATAGAGGGACATTTCATTAGGACGGATAACACGTCACTCTGTCAGGAAAACATATAATCATAAATTTGTCTATCTCTAATAACAGAACCACAAAATACATGAAAGCAATAAATAAATAAAGAAAGGAATAAATAGAAAAACCCATCACCATAATCAAGGATCTTAATATATACCTCAGCAATTTGTGTAGCAGCTGCTGGATTTTTCAATACTCCTCAGAGACATAAAAATCTGAGCACTGTCAACTGCTTATTTAAGAATATTGCTGTTTCTCTTGAGAAAGACTACCAGCAGTGAATAAGAATACTTGTTTCTGTAGCTCTTAGCAGCCTTGGGACTTAATATTTTTAATTTTTTTAAATTATTTGTTTATCTGATAAGGCAAACCATGGTACTTGTATTTATTTTCTTTTTATTTCTAAGTGATTGAATATTTTTTATTTTTTTTTTTCTTTTTAAAAAGTACATCAATAATTTTAGGTCTATTTCTGTATTGTTGTAGCCTTTTTTTATTATATTGTTTTCTATTACAGTTATTTCCCCCTGGTCATTAATTTTTAAACCATCTTTTTCTTACATTCTTTAACTTCTGGAAGTTAACATGTTTGTTTAGTCTAATCCATCTTTTTTTTTTTTTTTTTTTAGACAGAGAAGGTGAGCAGGGGAGAGGGGCAGAGAGAGGGAGAGAATCTTAAACAGGTTCCACACTCAGTATGGACTGGATGCAGGACTTGATCCCATGACCCTAGGATCACGACCTGAGCTGAAATCAAGAGTTGGATGCTCAACTGACTGAGCCCCCCGGGTGCCCCAAATCCACCTTTTTTAAGAAATAGTTTTTTCTTTGGTTTCTATAACTTATTTTTTGTAATCTTACAATGACTTATAGTCCATATAGAGCATTATCTCATTTAACAGCTCACCGTATAAAATCAAAGTAGGACCAACGAAACACTGACATGGGCCGAGTAGCAATTACCGTCTCATGTTCTGACAACTTAGACAATATTACCTGCTCTTATGCAATTTGAATTTATGTCTTCTTTTGGGTTCTCAGATCATTCATAATTTCGCAAGGCGAATCCAGACCAAAATCAAAGATCTGCTGCAGCAAATGGAAGAAGGTCTCAAGACAGCTGACCCGCATGACTGCTCTGCGTACACTGGTTGGACAGGTGAGAGCATGGGGTCGGGTTAGTTGACGGTCCATCTGGAGGTTACAATTTTAACACTTGAATTTTGAAATTTTTCTTCTTTTAAAGGGGTATGGTTTTATACCCTTTAAACGAAATATTGAACTTCTTCAGTGATGAGATGCTTTGGAATTTTATTTCTAAAGAAATATTTTCTGGCTATAATTTGAACTTTGATATATATATAGTATGTCATATTCTTATAGCCCTATTTGACCTTATATATGGATATCTTTGAAAATGTATAATAAGAGAAAACTTGCTTCGGTACAGTTTTTTATTTGCCTTTATTACTTTGATCTTTGTGACAAGTTGTATGCGATTTCTCCATTGTACATAAACTGTTTACCCTATTGCTTGTACTCATTTGACTCATTTGGACACATACAGAATTTGCTTTTGAATTTAGTGATAATAATCGAATAAGCAACCAGTAATACACTTTACATCCAAAAACTTAATTTCAAAATCAGCTTACCTTAACTAATCTTGGTATTCTTATTATTTTTGCATGTAGCCAGAACATTGTAGTAAGTAGGGAGTATAAGGAAATAAAAGACCTTCTTCCGAGGGATTAGACTATATTATGATTATTGCCAATAATAATTTTCATATCGATTTATTATAGCCTTTGCTAAATTTTTATAGTTTAGTCAATGAACAGCATAGACATAACTATACATGTTAGAATCACTGAGAACCGATAACTGCTTTTGCAAAGCACAACCAAACAAGGCCCTGATCTTTTTTATTTGTGTTCATTTTTTATTTATTTCTTTTAAAAAAATTTTTTTAATGTTTTATTTATTTTTGAGAGAGAGAGAGAGAGACAGTGTGAGCAGGGGAGGGGCAGAGAGAGAGGGAGACACAGAATCCAAAGTAGGTTCCAGGCTCTGAGCTGTCGGCACAGAGCCCGACGCGGGGCTCGAACTCGGGAACCGTGAGATCCTGACCTCAGCTGAAGTCGGACGCTTAACTGACTGAGCCCCCCAGGCGCCCCCATTTTTATATTTATTTCTGTGATGCCTTATTTATATTTGCCTGTTATGAATACAACATTTACATAATGACGTTACAATGATATTTTTCAAGCTTTTAAACCGAGAAAGACATGGAGCTAGTTCAACTTACACAGCCAAAGAAATTTATCATAATGTAAATTTAGATAATTTTGGCTAACTTGAAGTAAATTCAAAGAAGGATAGTTTGAAAGGAAAAAATAGCATAGTTATTATTAGCACAGATTTTCCCCAAAACATCTTTTTCTTTTTTCTTTCTTTTTTTTTTTAATTTTTACTTAAATTTTACTTAGGTAACATATAGTGTGATATGAGTGAAATCATACAGTATTTAATCTTTCTCTGACTTAGTTTGCTTATCATAATACATTCTAGCTCCATCCATGTCATTGGAAATGGTAAGATTTCATTCTTTGTAGGCTAATGTTCTATTGTGTGTGTATACCCCATCTTTTTTTGTTTTAAACATATGTTTTGAAGTAGTTTTTGTTGTTGTTTAGTTCAAATTTTTCTTTAAATTCTAGTTAGTTTACATATAGTATAATAATATGGGTTTCAGGAGTAGAATTTAGTGATTCATCACTTACATATGACACCCAGTGCTCATCCCAGCATGAGATGCCCTTCTTAATGCCCATCCCCCATCTGACCCATCTCCCCACCCACCTCCGCTCCAGCAACCTTCAGCTTCTCCTCTGTAGGTAAGAGCCCCTGATGGTTTGTCTCCCTCTTTTATTTTCCTTTCCTCTATGTTCATCTGTTTTGTTTCTTAAATTCCACATATGAGTTAGGTCTTTTACTTAAAATATTTCTTGTTGAAATAGGAGGTTTAAGTCCATGATTATTAGGTCCTAGATTAGCTATGCGTCAGACACACTCAGAGGGCTTTCTAATAAACAAAAACATTAGGAGCCCCATCCCAGAATGACAAAATGAGGATCTCAGGTGGAGTCTGAGAATCAATGTTTCTTAAAAATCTGCATTTATAGTCATCTTCTGTATCACTGATAGAGCTGTGATGGAGGTAATTGGTGTGAATGATTAAAAGTAATATTTAGGACTTTGGGATTCAGGTAGCACCTTCGAATCTGTTTATACCCGTGCCTCTCCTGTCTCGTTTCCCAAAGCTGTACAATACAAGAAGAGTGAATGAAGTACCCACAATTTAAATATTAGGCAAAATTGTGAGATAGAGAATACACCAAATAATAATGGATGAAAAATAAATCGAATCCAAAATGGCTAGAAAACCACAGTGGTGTCTAGGTGAAGAAAGCCGATGGACTCATGGGTGGCAAAATGTATTCTGCAATTCCCCCTCCCCTAAATCAAGAAAGAATTATTCTCAGAAGGATGAGACACCCAGAGAGGGAGTTTTGCAGGCATATCTGGGTATGCAGTGGGGCAGGGAAGAGAGGCAGGAATAAAAAGGGGGGTATGGAGAGTGAATAGGGAACAGAGGTTATAGAATTAAAAAAAATTTTTTTAATGTTTATTTATTTGTGAGAGAGAGACAGTGTGAGCAGAGGAGGGGCAGAGAGAGGGAGACACAGAATCCGAAGCAGGCTCCAGGCTCTGGGCTGTCAGCACAGAGCTGATGCAGGGCTCTAACCCACAAACCACAAGATCATGCCTGGAGCCAAAGTCAGATGCTTAACCCACTGAGCCACCCAGGCTCCCCGAGGTTACAGAATGTTTTAAAAACCATTCCAAAAAGGGGGGATTGTTGTTAAGGCCGGAGATGCACCCCTGGTGGCACTGCTAACGTGTAGGTAGGGAAGGACCCGTCAGTGACAGAAGCCCCTTTGAAGCCAGAACGGGGAGGAGAACCAGAGGAAATCTGGTCACCCTAAGTCACCATATACAGTAAACTCTGTCTCTTAATAAGAGAATGCCCTTGAGACTAAAAAAGCTGGGAAAGATATCCTAATCCTTTCCCTCTTTTAGAGAATCTTCCTTTAAATAATAGTTGGTTCAGAAAAATTCATCTAATTCAAATCTAAGAAAAAATTCAGTTGTATACATAATATTAGGAAAAAGGAATATCACATGTTGTCAACTGAAGAAAAAATGTCACTGGGGAACCTGGAGGGCCCAGTCAGTTAAGCGTCCAACTTCGGCTCAGGTCACGATCTGGCGGTTTGTGAGTTCAAGTACCGCACTGGGCTCTGTGCTGACAGCTCGGAGCCTGAAGCCTGCTTCAGATTCTGTGTCTCCCCCTCTCTCTTCCCCTCCCATGCTCATGCTCTGTCTCTGAGTAATAAATAAAAAATGTTGAAAAAATAAAAAGAGAAACCTCAGGAAGATACCATTACAGTGTGGAGAAAATTTGCAGCATTTCCAACATTGATTTTGGAACTTACTTAAGCAATTGTGTCACAAAGCAGAACTAAAGGAACTCAGAAAAGAGATGGCAAGACAATAAAAGTAATGTGAAATAAGAATTTTGAAAGAACAAAGAAAAAGAAATGGAAGGAACAGGAAAAATCACTTCAGAAATGGAGACTAAATGACAAGGGGCTGAATAGTGACACTGCAGAAAGCACAGCAATTCCATAAAAATGAAAAAAAATAAAACCATAAAATGAAGAGAGAATTCTAGTTTCTGGTCTGGGGTGCAACAACTTTAGAAGTTGCCACTGCACCCTAACAAGTGAAAAGCTGAACGAACTGGAAGAGTAACCGATCTTAGAGCCATCAGTGAGGTGAGGTCCTAGAGCAAATGGCTACACCACAAATAGAAGAGAGAGACAGGGAGATACAGAAAAGTCACAGTTTACTGGGGCACAGATCCACCAGAAGAAACCTCCATGAGAAGCAGTGTGAGGAGAAGAAATTTAAACTTTAACTGAAGAGTTTCTAGAGGCTGAGTCTGAACAACTATGAGAGTACAAAAGCCTCTAGGTAGACCCGGTTATGAGGAGGCTTCCGCACTTTTCTTGTGAGGTCAACTCCAGTTCTCTCAGGTCCTCACTGTAGGTATTGGAGAAAAATCCCTTTGTGCTTCTGGAAAGGCGAGGAAAAAGGAGCCATTTTGGAAATATTCCAGAGCAATCTGCTTTTCATAACAAGACCAGTCCTTAGGAGAAACGTTTTTACCAGAGCCTCACCCTCTGGAGTTTTATTGAACCCAGACTTCCCTGGGGGGAGGGAAATACCCAGCTCCTGCCCCTTGGAACTATCCCATCCAGCCTCCAGGGAAGAAAACACTGAGAAGCTCTAGTAAACTTCATAGTCCAGGGACATAGATTCACAAAAAGTCTGAGACCTAACTATAGAATCATAGAAAGCTCCCACTCCCCTATTCCTGACTACCACATTACTGAAGGACTAGGTACTGCAGTTTCTTTTATCCAGTACATTATATCTACCTTGCAATAAAAAATTACAAGGAATAGGGCACCTGGGTGGCTCAGTCGGTTAAGTGTCAGACTCCTGAATTTGGCTCAGGTCATGATCTCATGGTTCGTGAGTTCAAGCCACATATCAGGCTCCATGCTGACAATGTGGAACCTGCTTGGGATTCTCTCTCTCTCCCTCTCTCTGCTCCTTCCCTACTTGGGCACTGTCTCTCTGTCTCTATCAAAATAGAATAAACTTAAGTAAAAGTCACAAGGAGTATTAAAAGACAAAAAAAATTAAATAGGGTTAAAATATTTTGAAGTGAGTAAATAAACATCAGACCCAAAATCAGATATAGCAGGAATGTTGGAATTATCAAACCAGGAATTTTCAAATACTGTGCTTAATATGCTAAGGAATTTAGTGAAAAAAATAAACATGCAAAAATAATAATGTAAGTAGAGAGATGGCAATTCTTTTATTTTTAAATTCTTATTTAAATTCTTATCACCAGAAGTCGTAACTACTAAAAGGAAATAAAAATGTATACAGATTGGGAAGGAAGAAATAAAATTATCTCTGCAGATGACATGATCATTCTTTGTAGAAAATCAGAAATAA